AGGGAAAGAAAGGAAAAAAAAACCAAAACACAGGTAACATAGTACCAAGCTGAAGTGAAACTCTGATCTGACCTAATATTACCATTACTATGGGATTATTCTGATATTTGAAGCATCATTTTCAATACAACTTGTGCAGAACCAGATTAACACCATTTAGTTTCAGCTGTGTTAATCTTTTTCAGATTGAGCCCTTTCAAGCTCCACATATGTAACTCTATATACTATTAAGTAGCAAATATTTGTCTGTAAATCATACCACCTATATTTTCAATGTTCATAGAACTACTCAAAACAACATAATTTTACCATTTACTTACAGATGTAAATATTAATTCTAACCTGACCCTAATACATTTTCTGCTACAACTGTACTTACAGGGATTAAGCAAATCTCATTTACCCTGAGACCTTATGGGAAAAAAAATTACACAAGTAAAATGGAGAATTACATTCTCACCTTTTTTTCCAAACATGAATCTAAGTTTTCCCTGCAAGGGGTCAAACTAGCCCACTAAGTATCAGTTGGGAACATGGACTGCAAGACACTTAATCCCCTCAAAACTTGCAGAGCTTCATCCAGACCAGAAGACCAAGCATCGACTTGTATCCCAAGGTCAGATCTGTGTGCTAGGTTTAATTCACTGTCAAATTTCAGTCTAAAGAACTTTTGTTCACATACAAATAGAATAAGAGTATAAAAAAAAAAAAAAAAAAAGCACAGTAAAACTGACAAGCAAGTTTTCTGTCTAGAAAAGCTGCTGCTCCGGTACATTGCAATCTCTCAAGAAAGAAATTAAGAAAATAAGGCAGGGGAAAAGGACAATTATTTTTCCTGATACTTATGGCACACCTTCCTTGCTCCAGTACAAATGCCACATGTGAACAGCCCAACTAACTTACGCAGAAGTGCCCCTTTGGTCAGGAGCAGGATTTATTCCTCCAAAAAGCCACAATGAGCTTTGGTGTAGGACAGGAGGCTCCTTATTTGCAAACAAAGAAGTCAAGCTGGTGCACGGCAAGGAACTGCACCTTTCCTCAGCATGCAGTTATGCTCACTTACTCACACACCTCAGCCACAATGGTTCATACTTGAGCTCACAAACTCTTTGGCAGAGTCATCATGGCTAGTAGAGGGCTGAGCCCATAGGCTCTGACGCAAGTGGCCTCCAGAATATAAATGTTAACTACTAGACAAAGCACTACTTTGTAGGGTTCAAACTTGATTGAACCAGACTTGGAAAAATGATGTGAGGAAATCAGCATTTGGGCAGAGGGAGACTGAGATGGATTAGTCACACAGACAACAGAGAGGTGAGAACATTAAAAATAATAGAAAAAAATAATAAGTAAAGGTATGTAAAAAACTGAAGTAATAAAAAAATTACCAGGTTGTTCTAAAACTTACTTCTGTGTATTTTACATGTAAGCATTTTCATGTACTGAGAAAGAAACAGCACACAAGGGGAAGAAGACTGTGTTTAAAATGTATTTCAGACATGGGTTTACAAGGTTCGCCAGGTTGTGTAAAGCTCAGGAAGATGACACGGTAAATTTCTAGTTTGAATGCAGGAAAAGAATAGAGAAAAGGAAAAAATGGGAGATGGTGACCAAAGGTTTCAATATATTCCTTGCAGACAAATACATGTTAAGTCCCTGTGTTGCTGTCTTTTTCAGTCATTTCTGAACTGGAAACTGCAGATGTAATACCATCTTAAACCATGTCACCCAAACTCCTTCTGGGTCAGCTTTTCAGAACTGGCCTCAAACATCTGGATGTTTTTAATATTTGGAAATGCCAACTTCATAGTCTGCAAATATGTTTTAATTACTGATTATGTGCCTACTAGTTTGATTACTTAAATAACTTTGTAATATAACTCCAATCCAATATGGAGACTAATTTGTTGATTTGATCATGATGTTAGATTTCTCTGATGGCTTCATTGCTTTATTTTAAATCAGGTTTAATAAAGTTGTAAATAACATAGCCTTGGGCAACACGTTCTCTTGATTTTGCTTTAAAAAAAAAATGTTTTACTACAAATTACTATTTAAAAATAATTTATCTTGACAAGTAACATATGTCCAAACCTCGAGGCCATTAGACTAGCTCTCTGTCTGCAAACCTAATGATTCCCCTAAAATCTGCAGTTGGGTCTGAAAATTAATTTCTATACCTGCCTCTCTTTCACACACATTTATAGTCATTTTCTCTGTTAAGCACTGCAGAAGAAGAGAGGTGGCTATTTCTTGCCTACACACATCTGCAGAACTACATGACCCCACAGCACACAGACTGACACCAAACCTCATCGTATGTCCACAGCTTTGATCACTCACTGAGGGACATACTACAGCAACCTTGGACATAGCCAAAACCTGCCTAAATCCTGATTTGGGGAGTAAAATTTAGAGCTAGACCCCTCATGACTGGTAACAACAGCAAAACTCTCGCTGTGGCCAACGACAACAGTATTCCTGCCCTCTGCCCCCTGCCCAGGCAGAGGCAGCAGTTCTCTTCTTCCCTTCTGCAGCATTCATGTCCTACCTGCAGCTGAAACCCTTGGGCTTAAGCACCCTGTTCTGTACAGCTCACACAGCAGGGCCTCACGCTCTGCTCAAGGTGCTAGCTACTACCAGCCTGCATGTAACAGCTGGGGGGAAGAAAGGAAAGATATTATTACATTATAGCTTTTTAGATAAAATACACTAGGAACACCAGGTACCACGCAATTGTAGCCCTCCAAGGCACAGCCTCTGCTATCTTTAATTATCATCCAGCACTTAGATGAGACAGATAATAAAGGGAGCAGTAATCACAAACAGACATTCTGCATGAGCAAAAATGCTCACCATGAGAAAAGCTGTAGCCAGATATAGATTTATGTCCAATAAATTTGAAGGATCATAACTTGCTAAAGTACTAGCATGCAAATAAACCTAGATTTATATACATATATAGGTGTTCCTGTGCATAACACAGCACCCAAGCACCTGTCCTTGCCATTTCATATAAATGGAGGAAGGTACAATGCAACATTAAAAAGCACAGGCTTGGAATAATATTTAGTAAGTTCTCGATGTAAAACATTCCGAACTGGTAAAATTTGCCTGAAAATGTTAAGACGCTAAATGCAAGGAAACTATTGAAGGCATGACCACTAAAATAAAAAACTCCTTGTGACTTGGTTTTGTTTCCATTCGAAAGTAATCAGCCCTAGCTTGATCTTTCGCCTTCAGAACATCCAACTCTGATTAAAGGCGATCTAGAGTTTCAGTTCCCGAACACCGACGGCGTTTCTGGAGACAAGCGGCAGGCAGCAGAAACTGTCTCGGAAGATCGACACCCGGTGTCACTGGGCAGGGAAAACACCGACGCGATGTGCACAGGCGCCACCAAGAGGTTCTTCTCCCAGAGCCCAAAGGTGATTTCTCCCTCCCCGGGCCACCCTGTGATGCTCGGGCACCCTGAGAGTGTGAGCCACTTGCTCACCCCAGTCACTCGCTGCTGCGTTTCAGTGAGCGTTGCAAACGGGAAGAAAAGGGGGGGAGGGAAAGCTATTTTTTTAGGGTTTCTTCCAGAACAAGGAGAGGTGGAAAGATTTATCTACAGCACATGCAGTTTTTCACAGCAGAGATTTTTAAACGTTGTGGTAACAGCAAACAAGACCACTGCCCAGTCCCAGATCTGGAAAATGTTAAATTCCACCTTATCAGCCACCAAAGCTCCAAAGTCAGGATGAATCTGTTGCTGAGCTGCTTCCTGTCAAAACCTGTGCAATCCTTTTTTTTTTTTTTTTTTTTCTTCTTCAATCAAACACCATTGTGAGGCTCAAATAGCAATAACGTTCTGGTAGTGTTATGCTGGAGCATGTTTTTAAATCTAAGTGGACATTTTAATCTGATTTTTTTTCGTCGTGGGGAGAAAGCCAGTTTTTTTCCTCATCACTGTCATTTCATGGGCTGAAGAGAATGAGCCAAAAAGCCACAGCTTCTTCCTTCCTCTACAATGTTACTAACCAACCAGTAATTCCTCAAGCCCCAAGTTTGTGCTTATAGAGCCCTGGAAGTGAGGATCTCCTTAACCTGCTTGGCCTGGCTACTCCCACCAGTGAGCTGCAGCAGCTGATGGTGATGCTGAACACCCTTCAGTGGAAAAAGCAGCATCCACTCACTTGATTAAGGTGGGTGCTTTGTACTGGTTTGGCTACTCCCTCTGAGACCATACCTGTCTCCTACCTTCCATCTTGACAAACTGACCCACAGGCTGCCCAGGGGCTGAAAGCTCTGCATTTTCTCCAGGAACAGGAGGGAGGTTGTGAGACAGCTTTGACTTGAGCCTGCCAGGTACTGGGTTAGCATGCAGGTATATCAGTGGGGGCTCAGCTGAGTAAGGCTGCAAGCCACCTAGCTGAACCCTAAACTTGGAGTGTGGGCTGGACTAGATGATCTCCTGAGGTCCCCTCCAGCCACACTTACTCCATGATCCTGCAACCAAAAAAGGTGATATTGCTTGCAAGCTGGTGACAAGGGAATATGCAGTTCAAGCTGGGGGAAGCCATCACCAGTGGCAGCTTACACTTCAAGCTCATCACGTCAGCAAAGCACCTCAATGGGCCATGGGGCAGTGAGCGGGGTGCTAAGAGGCCCCCACACACAGTACGTAACCAGGAAAGGGACTAAAGTGATCTCCAGGCAGCAGTTTTGGAAAAATATGCAACAAACATATTAACAAATTGATAAGATTTTTTGCTGCCTGTGTTGAAGCAAGTCTTGCCCACTCTCCAGCAGACAGGCAACTGTCAATGTTTTTCCCTTTCCCACTCCTCAGCTTCCAGGACTGGCCAGGAAAAGGTGCAGAAGATCTTAGTTCACAGCAAGGCTTAAGAGCAAGAGGAAGCAGCACAATGGTTTTAACATTGATGGCACGGACACTCTTTAGAATGCAATGCTACTCTTAACACCCTGCAAGCACCAAGGACATGAGCCATTTTCTCCACATTCACTCAATTTTCATCACCATTCATCTGCGAATTTTTACTAAGGCTTGTTTGTGTGGGTTTTTTGAGGGAGGGAATTGAACTGGGGTTGGGGCCATTTTTCCAGGCAGCTCATTCTCTCACCTCACTCCCAAGATTTAAGGCAATTTAAACACTTAAGGATTAAAGGCATTATAACAAGCTTATACTGCTTTAAGCATCTAAAGTGGCTTAAACGCTTATGCTGCTTTCAGGAGCTAAACACAGCTTAACTATCTATGCCATCGGATGAATTCATGGGAGCTCACAAACCCACACTCCCGTTAAAACAATAAAAATGTACCTGAAAACATCACTGTATTTTAAGAGCGCCGTCCTGCTTGGCTTCCTGCAGGTCGCTCCGACCTTTACCCGTGCCGGTGCGCACACACCCCAGCCTTGCCTGGGCGGCCTCGGCCCCCTTACCTGGCGGCAGCAGGTGCGGGCAGTGCGGGCTCCCCGGGCCCTGCCCCGCAGCTCCAGGCCGGAGCGGCGCGATGCGGGCACCGCGCCCACGCTTAAAGGGCCGGGGCGGAACGGGGCAGCGGCCCCAGGGGGGTAAACCGCCAATGGCCCTAAGGAGATTGTTAATTTCATTCCCAATGAAGCGTGAAACAGTTGCTGTGGTCGTGCAGTGGGACAGACCCACCCCCTTCCCCCCCACCCCGACCACGGCTCACGACGGAGAACCCCCACCCCGGGGGATGCTCCAGGGGCATGGGGTGCCCCCCTGGCCCTGATACGTGACCTGACAGCCAGGGAAGGCAACATCACACTGGAGCAGCCCAAAACACAACCCTGCTCCTCAAGGGCTGCCCAGACCCCTTTCAGCCCCAGCCCCAAAGGAAGCAGGGGCCGGTTCAGGAAGGCAAGATGCTCCTGCCCTCAGCAGGCACCCAAGACCACACGTATCCCCGACATCTCCCAGAGAAACAACACCACAGTTGCCTCCTCCTCCACTCCCACTACCCCTTGAACACATTGGCATGGGCACCCAAAACTGCTCGTCCTGCTTAGGCTTTGCTAAGCTGGGAGTTTAACATTAAAACAGTCTGCAGTTCTGGTGAAAAAACTGAGCAGATTTCTGTCAGAAATGTCTCATCCTCCACCACAGAAAATGGTTATTGTCTTTAGTCTAAACAGAGTCTGCTCAGATTCGGGTCCTTGCTTCCACACAGCCCAGCTGGCTGGATCCGAGGAAAGCAATGTACCAAGCTACCAAGAATTCATGGAGGCAAATTGTCTTCCGA